AAAAGCGAGTAATTACAAAAATACGGAGCTCCCGAGTGGATTACACCCAGTTGTCAGGGAAAGGGTTAACTATTCTCAATGACTGTGGGATAATGGTTGAGGTGTGGAAGTGCAATAGCACCCGACACATTTGTCTCAAAGTATCTTCTTAGTAAGGTACCTCATAAGATACCTTTGTAAGGTTCTGCATCACCTTCAAGAATAAATGAGCATTTAAGCATATAATTCTACATGACACAGGGGCAAATCATCTCTTATAAATGTAAACGGTGACACATTTGCAATGATAATATTTCTATTATTTTATGTCCAAAACAGAAGACGTGCATAGACATTGCGAAAAACACGCTTTCATTAATTTAGCCTGTGCGAAGTTGTGACGCTACATTTGCTGAGTATGTTCAAATTGTCAACATAGTATAAAATTAGACCCTATCTTATTTTTAAGAAAATTACAGGCATTTAATAAACAATAAGAGTTTGCTGGGTAAAACTAAAGGGCTTAAATCATGATTGTTGTACGCAAAAGCTGAATTAAATCGTCATTTTGGTCATTTCACCCATGGGTCCCCTGTTTTGTCGTTCTTATCCAGGATAGAAGGGGATTTCGTGTTAAGTTAGTGTCATGTTCTAGTGGACCAATATAGTGAAACTTTTACGAAAAAATTAATGTTGTACGTGGAAGTCGAATTAAAGGGGATGTTCTTAAGGGAGGAAGGAAGGGTCGGCGTCCTTCTTAAGCAGTGGTTTTGGCCACATCTGAAATTGTCTGACTTATGCACGAAAGTTGATTGTTGTACGTGGAAGTCGAATTAACTCATCTTTCAGGGGGGTAATGGGGGTGTTCTTAAGAGAGGAAGGAAGGGTCAGGGTCCTTCTTAAGCAGTGGTTTTGGCCACATCTGAAATTGGCCGACTTATGCACGAAAGTTGATTGACGTTGTTGTACACAAAAGTTGAATTAAACTCGAAGTTTCGAGTTTTGTCCCCCCCCCCACCCCCATGGGAAGGGGACCCGCAACTTAAGAAACAAGGTTCAGAGTAATGGGTACTGCTATCCACTCATCTAGCATGGTAGAAATTTTGTACACCTATTGTGAAACAACCTGAACCTAGCTCCCTTACTAATAAGAATGACAGGGTCACTAGATGAATGACCAACCAAGAGAATGACAGAGGCTCACTGGAAAAATCAATGACAAAGAGAATGACAGCTGCTTATTGGATGAATAGCAAAGAGAATGACAGAGGCTTACTGGATGAAAGATAAAAGGAATAACAGGTTCACCAGAGAAATGCCCAGAATGACAGACCTTCATTAGGCAAACCTGTGTCATACACTTTGTCATCCTGGTGGACCTGTGTCATTCGCCTGGTGAATCTGTGGTACTGTATCCTTTTTCATTCGCCTGGTGAACCTCTGTCATTCTGGTGAACCTCTGTCATTCTGGTGAACCTCTGTCATTGTCTTTGTCATTCGTCTGGTGAACCTATCATTCATCTGGTGAACATGTCATTCTCTTTGTCATTCATATGGTGAATGTGTGCCATTCTCTTTGTCATTCATATGGTGAACCTGTGTCATTCTCTTTGTCATTTGTCTGGTAAACCTGTCATCCATATGGTGAAACTGTGTAGTACTATTTGTCATTCCTATGGTGAACCTGTGTCATTCGTCTGGTGAACCAGTCATCCATATGGTGAACCTGTGTCATTCTATTTGTCAGTCGTATGGTGAACCTGTGTCATTCTGCTTGTCAGGTAATGTATGGTGAATCTATGTCATTCTCTTTGTCAATCACCTAGTGAACCTGTGTCATTCCTCTGGTGAACCTGTGTCATTCTCTTTGTCATTCATGTGGTGAACCTGTGTCAATCGCCTAGTGAACCTTTCATCCATATGGTGAACCTGTTTCATTCTATTTGTCATTCCTTATTCCTATGGTGAACCTGTGTCATTCTGCTTGTCATTCGTATGGTGAACCTATGTCATTCTCTTTGTCAATCACCTAGTGAACCGGTGTCATTCTGTTTGTCATTCCTCTGGTGAACCTGTGTCATTTTCTTTGTCATTTGTCTGATGAACCTCTGTCATCCTCTTTGTCCATCGTCCAATGAACTCCTCATTCTTTTTGTCATTTGTGTATTGAATCCTTGTTATTCTCGTTTTCCTTCCTCAAAAATAACTGCCAGTCTTATATAATACATTTGGAGTGATGGGAGCGGGGAATAATTCCATAATCATTAACCCAATTACATAGATTTGTGCGTTACCCTATATTTAGATTTTAACACCTTCTGCCAAGCCGTTAAGCAGAAGGGGATGTATTTGTAACAGCATGCTGTATTGCGCATACTGACTCTAGCGAGGTAAGCAAGGTCTTATTTTCTCACTAAAATGTATCTTTACATTGTACAGGCATTCACAGGGATGCAACGTTTAGCAGTAAAAAGTTGCCCAGTAAAATTGACAGGGGATCAAAAGTTTTTCGACAAGGATTCAATAGGACAGTAACCGGTCAAGCCTAATAGTACACCGTGCAGGATTGTTCCATTACATCATATATATTGTTTTATTTTCAATTATAAAAAAACGTAAGGTGTTATTTATTCTAGTGGACGAACTTCTGGACTCCTCGGACACATAAAGCTAATTATTAGTATTTTTTGCTGATGCATCGATAAACCAAAAAGGACCGAGAATCGATTCCGCGTCAGCCGAATCGATGCATCAGATACTTGATATCAGCACTAGGTCTACATCAGTACCATCCATGCCATGTCATGGTATCAGCAGAACAGTAGGTTGTTAAAGTTAAACCCCATTTCATTTCATTTTGTCATGGTATGGTAATTTTATAAACAAGTTACAAGTTTACATGTATTATTACCAACCGACAAACAAAAGCTCTAATGCTTTATTAATTCTAATGATTTTTTTTTTATTAAAAGTAAATAGCTATATATTATGTATATGTAAGCTTATCATGATTATGGCTGAATTTTAAAAGTTAAAGGAGCTAAATCGCTAATATTTGGGACCTAGAAATTGACACAAATGGGTCACAACGCATATAATAATGTAATATGAGTGCATATAAACTGATTTACATTTAATCGTTTCTGTTTTTACAGTAATTTCTAATCAGTTATGTTCAGCGAAATACGCCAGAAGTCTCAATTGAATGACAATCTTTAGTATCTGGTTTTTCCAGTCTACACCGATGGTATTTATTGTGCATGCTCTCCAGATAAGAATATTACGCCAACATTTGATATGACTTGTGGAATATGTCTAGCCCCGTTCTTTGAGCCCCTTGTTCCAAATGGCACTGAAACGCATATTGGTACACGATTCGTGTACCAATGGACATGGTAAAATGTTTATTTTGTCTTGTCAGAAGCCCATCTTTTCCCTGTAAGACCACAAGACCAATTGATTTGAATTGACAAATAATTCGTGTTTTCAATGTCGAAGATTTTTGATGATATAGAGTTAGGAGACTTAGCTACTTTAACCACAATTATTAAAATTTGTTTACTTTTTCTACCCAATTTGCTCCTGAAGTCATAGCTTTCGAGAAGATTTCCATTTTAGTGTCATTTCCGTTGTCTCCTTGCACTGGATTTCTTTGATTATCCCGTCGATTAGTTATAGTAGACATAGTTCTGAAGATTTGGGGTCCTATTCATCCCAATACACAGCTCTTTGTGAGTAAAAAAAAAAACCCTCAACTGTTAATGTAATGATACCGGTATGTAAATTTTCAGATGTGTGGCAGTGCCGCCACGATTCACAACTGCGCATGACATCAACTCTTTTTCTATTTCCACGTTCAAATTCTTTTTAAATGGAGTTGTTTCCCATTGAATGAGTTTTGTCTGTGATATCACAACGAACACCTCGAATGAATGAAAGATATTGAACGATTCAGTGAGTTATGTTTTAAAGTGACAGTCTCCCCAAGAACATTTCAAATGAAAAATACATGATTTACAGCGTGGATGTGCAAAAGATCGTGCTGCTTTCCTAATACCGTCGTATGGTAGGCCTACCTAGCTACTAATTTGTAGGTGCGTGCGGGCATCGAGCACTAGTCCCGACTGTGAAAAATGCTTCAGTGCTTGCAAATGTGTACACGCGTGAGCCCCGTGGTTGGTTGAGGTTTTTTCGTTATCCGATCTAGAACACATCTTCCTTTTAAAGGACAATATTGGTACCAGTCATTATCACATAGGCCTATGTGATAGAGCTGGTTAAACACATTCCAAATATACTTTTAACACAGAGATCATTGCTACGATAGCTGAGTAATACACGGCTCCCGCATCGGAAGTGACGAACGTCAAAGGAAAACACGAGTCATCGCTCCATATAACTGACTGAAGCGACGAGTCATAACAGATACACGGCCGAATTTCTGCTCACTAATAATTCCTTCGAAGACCAAAAGCTGTTGTGTGAGACGTGAGGGGATATCTGACAATTCATAAAAAGAATTGACTGCCACTAGATAAGAGAACACGAAAGAAAAACAGAAAAAGTCCGTGCATTACCATGTTTTTATAAGGTATAGACTGAATGTAAACAAGGGAATGTACGGACTATTTCTACTTTTCTCGTGTTCTCTTATCTAATGACATTCAATTACTTTATTGAATTGTCAGATATCCTCTTACTGTGTGTTACAGTCCCATATAACAACTCTTGGTCTTCGAAGGAATTATTAGTGAGCAGAAATTCGGCCGTGTATCTGTTATCACTCGTCGCTTCAGTCATTTATATAGAGCGGTGACTAATGTTTTCCTTTGACGTTCGTCACTTCCGATGCGGGAAACGTGTATTACTCAGCTATCGTAGCAATGATCTCTGTGTTAAAAGTATATTTGGAATGTGTTTAACCAGTTCTATCACATATGTGATAATGACTGGCACCAATATTGTCCTTTAAGAATTATTGTTGAAATCCCCCAAATTTACCTAGCTACGAAAACGTAACTAAAAACGCTGAGATCTGATGTGCTTGTTTTTAGCTACGATTGGATGCCTGTAGTTCCAAGTGGCAAACTCAATTTCTTTATTAATGTATGTACCATCTTAAAAATAAGTTAATTTTATACTATTAGTACTTATTACACATACGCAGTCCAATCTACTGAAACAACATTCATTTATCAGCAAATATTGACAATGAAGTATCAAGCGTTGTTTTTATCAAAATTGATTCGGACGTTCATAATTACGCCGTATTACTACTGCGCAACTCTGATCAGATGGGTACTTTGATTGGGTATTGCACACGAGGCCCCGCCTTTATGTGTTACAGACGTAAATTATAAATGTCGGAAAAAGCAATCTACCGTCGCTTCGATTTAAAAAGAGGGGATTGGTACCCGTTTCAGGTAGGATTATATGGTTAATTGTAGTTGGGTGTAGCAGAAATATTATAAATAACAATAACCAATCGTTTTTTTGATGAAAATTATTGTCAATTTTGTTTACAAATGCCGGGTGCGAATCACTCCCGCATGTGCTACATTGAAGGTAATGGCATCATCTCTTATCTCGAAACACGGAGGGTTGAGAGATTAAGGTTTGTTATCTAAAATTTACCCAGTACTAGGCTATTGCCTTTAATATCAATTTATATACATGTATATGTACGTGACTCACACAGAAATAGCCTGTTAATCAGTAGATACCACTGAATTATTATTGACATTATTTATTGGACTTAGATCCTGATTTGATAAGGTCTATACGATAATATTTACCTTGATTAATTATGATCAACCACTTTCAGTGTGTTCGACTTTGATGTGTTGGAAGACTTTACTAGGAGTGAACTGCGCGTAGGCCTATAGTAAATAAGATTCTACGTTGGAGGGTAAATACATTTTTTTTCCTTTTAAATGTAGCCTATTAATTTATGTCAAGGCCTACCCAAAGTCCCAAAGGTATATCATACCGTACCAACCAACCCATCTTAAAGAGGTCGTATATAATATGGGGGAAAGTGGTACAAAATGGACCCCTCAGGTGAAATGGATGCACCCCTCACCCCATACTTTTCTGAGATAAGGTAGCTGGAAAATAAAGCCCGGGAAGTCGAGGACATAGCGTACTTTATTAACGTTAATAACATGGCGAACTTGGCAAATCGAGGTTGCAGGCAAGCACGTGTCGTGTCGTGTGAAAGTTTTTTGACGTTTCCTGTTCTATCTGACTGTGAATATTTGATAGCGTCCGGGAACAGTTTTTTTTTTCATAGGATAGAGCAGTGGTTCTCAACCAGTGTGCCGTGGCACACAGGTGTGCGGCAAGCTCTTCCTAAGAGTGCTGCGAAATTTTGAACGGCACACTATGAAAATGCGAAAAAAACATGTGATCTTAACTGAGTGTTCACTGCACCCAGCGGGCACACAACGTTGTGACAACGTTGTTCAGGGGTTGTATCACAACGTCTGAAATAGGTCAGCTGTAGGTTGTTTTGCAACAAACTCTTACGTTGTGACAACGTTGTACGGACGTCAAAGCAACATTGTCACAACGTTGTGTGGTGGTTGACGAAAAGTTGTGACAACGTTGTACGGACGTCAAAGCAACATTGTCACAACGTTGAGTGGTGGTTGACGAAAAGTTGTGACAACGTTGTACGGACGTCAAAGCAACATTGTCACAACGTTGTGTGGTGGTTGACGAAAAGTTGTGACAACGCTGTACGGACGTTCAAGCAACATTGTCACAACGTTGTGTGGTGGTTGACGAAAAGTTGTCACGACGTCAGAATTTGTTGTTTTTCAACGTTGTGTGGTGGTTGGCGAAAAGTTGTCACGACGTCAGAATTTGTTGTTTTGAGGTTGTATAAAACCCAGTATAAGCCCCATCGGAACTCCCTACAGTTCTGCCCCCACTGGACTAACGCAGACGGGAATAGGCGGCCGGGCACGATGGAAGTTAAATTAGGTGTGTGTGCGGGGAAGGGGGGGGGGGGTGCTTAAATGCCCGACAGATTTGGGCCACGATTTTGACATAGTGAAACGATACGCGAAGTTTCAACACTCTCACTCAATTAGAATCAAAGTTATTGTGTCCCATCACAACCAATCTAATTGCTTCTTTCTGAATAAAATCAGTACCAATTAATAGGACAGTACGTAGTTTCAAAACATTCAATTCAAACGATTATATTACAGTCAATATTAATGCTAGAGTCATATAACTTTGCAGTAATGGGGAAAGGTAATAGAATCTGATCATTAAATTTTAAGTAATGGTCATGTAATGAGTAATGGAAGATTTCAAAAGTAATGAGTAATGGAAATGTAATTAATTACATTCCGAAAATCATGTAATGGTCAATTACATTTCAATTACATTTAATGGCGCATTCTTTGAATGGCATTTAGTAATTAGAACATAATCAAATAACATACTTTTATGGAATAACAATTACTATGGTTTATTTCACTGCAACGTTTCAACAAGATTTCACAAGTCGTTTTCAAGCATATATACACAAATAAATAAAATGAGAAAGATATGAATATATATATATAAACATCAGTGCGAACTATCCAATGGTATGCAAGGAAGGTGAACATGAGTAGCTATCACAAGCTTTTGATGAAACAACGGTGAATAATCGTATATACTAGGATTAACTCATTATACAATTAAAAGATCAAACAGAGGATTGTTGAGATGTACTGAAACCATACACATTTTACTATATAATTGAAACCAGTTTAAAAGAAAATAAGGCATAGATCTATACTATGATTAACTAAATATACATTCATAAAAGATCAAACAGAGGATTTACAGACATATATTACAACCATACTCTTATGCATTCAGTGATAACTAGAGTTTTAAAAGCATATATCAAGGAAACATATTTAATGTTATTACATTTTATTACTATTTAAAGATTAGTGCTCTTTTAGAATTTAATCAATCAGATTTAAAGACATGTCTTTAAATCTGATTGATTAAATGCTAAATTAGCACTAATCTTTAAATAGTAATAAAATGTAATTATTTACTTTCAATGTAATGGGTAATGAATGATATTGCTAAAAATGAGAAAGTAATTTTAATGCAATTGGTACTGTAATAATAATAATAATGTATTATTTATAATGCGCCTATTACCAATATAAAACACTCAATGCTCAATGGCGCAGTTAACATTTTGTGGACATCACACATGGAAAATAAAATAAAATTAAATGGATGATAAAAGAACTTAAAATGGCTTATAAAGATTATAATAAAATATGACATGTAATAAACAAATTAAAACTGTACATGTACTTAATTGGTCCCTCTTCTGTCCGGCTCATATTTTAGATGAGCCGAAACTGTGCTGTTATTATCTCGGCTTCATTGCAGCTCAGCTGACTGATCATTACACTATCTGAAGAATACAAAAAACTGTATATTTACTCTGTCAAATTTTGTAAATTATATAATTCAGTCCGATCAAAAAGGTGGTCCTAAAGCTGTAACAGATAATTCTGCATCCCATGAATTATGGACCAAAGGTGGCTTATTGGGTAAAACGCTGGCTCGCTTGTCTGGAGGTCGCATTTTCGATCCCTACATTTGCCGAGAAAGTTCAGTAGGCCTGACAAGGACAACTGTTAGTCGTTTGGATGGTATGAAAAACCGAGGCCTCGTGTACACATTGACGTGCAAGTAAAAGATCTCGATATAAGAGTAGGCCATAGTGCCGCTGCCCGGGCAAAATTTCCTTCATAGCACGCGGTATGGCGCATGCCCATCTTCATTAGCCTAGTCGGAGCAGAACAGTAGGACGTTAAACCCCATATGAATTATATTATATATGACCCAATAACACATTCTATATGAGACATCGCTTGTGTTATTACTTTCATATTCTCCAAAAATTTGTACGTGTAAGAAAGGCATGGGTGTTAAATTACAAAAAAGATAGGTTGCCAGGCAACGAAACATACGCCCACAGCAGCTAAATCGTCCGAGCAGTCAACAAGAGTTGTCACATATTTTTACTTTTTTCGGTAATGAAACATTTATAATACACTAAAATCTGATTAAGAGCAACAACTCAGAAAACCATTAGAATTTGTTTGGTTTTTATAAAGTTCTGTCCCATGCTAACGTTTTGTATACAAAACTTTTAATACTGTATCATGGATTTAGCTGTTCCAAGTCATAAAAATTCATTGAAAATCAATATACTTGTTCGTCTCAAGATCTTAAACTCTGTGTATCAATCTGAAGTCAATCGGATATTAACTTTGGCCTCTAGAGCGTCCACAAGATTTTTCAAAGTGTTCAAGGGCCATAATTTGGCAGTAATTATCAGAAATCTTTGAAAATCAATAGGATTATTCGCCTCGTGACCTCAAACACTGTGTATAAATTTAAAGTCAATCAGATATTAACTTTAGCCTTTAGCGCATCCACAAGATTTTTTGAAGTGATCAAGGGCCATAACTCTGGCAGTAATTATCGGAAATCGCTGAAAATCAATAGGCTTCTTCGTCTCATGACCTTAAACACTGTGTATAAATTTAAAGTCAATCGGATATTAACTTTGGCCTCTAGAGCGTCCACAAGATTTTTGGAATGATCAAGGGCCATAACTCTGGCAGTAATTATCGGAAATCGTTGACAATCAATAGGCTTCTTCGTCTCATGACCTTAAACACTGTGTATAAATTTAAAGTCAATCGGATATTAACTTTGGCCACTAGAGCGTCCACAAGATTTTTTGAAGTGATCAAGGGCCATAACTCTGGCAGTAATTATCGGAAAACGCCGAAAATCAATAGGATTCTTCGTCTCATGACCTTAAACACTGTGTATAAATTTAAAGTCAATCGGATATTAACTTTGGCCTCGAGAGCGTCCACAAGATTTTTTGAAGTGATCAAGGGCCATAACTCTGGCAGTAATTATCGGAAATCGCCGAAAATCAATAGGCTTCTTCCTCTCATGACCTTAAACACTGTGTATAAATTTAAAGTCAATCGAATATTAACTTTGGCCTCTAGAGCGTCCACAAGATTTTTTGAAGTGATCAAGGGCCATAACTCTGGCAGTAATTATCGGAAATCGCTGAAAATCAATAGGCTTCTTCATCTCATGGCCTTAAACACTGTATATAAATTTAAAGTCAATCGGATATTAACTTTAGCCTCTAGAGCGTCCACAAGCTAATTGTGGACGCCGGACCGACGGACGGACGGAGGCGACGACAATATACGACCACATTTTAATGTGGGCGTATAAAAAGATCAACACTCATCGATGAAGTAATAAAAACTTGGTGTATGCCCATACCATGTTTGATTATCCGATATTTAAGGATATGTTCGTAAATTGAGTATGATAAAAACAAACCTCGGACAACTTTGTAAATTTCTAAGTCCATTATGGACCGCCTCCCTTTATTTCCCTTTAAATTAAATTGGGCCATTAGGGAATTAGACATCAACCTGTTAAAATAAAAAGACATACTGTTTATGCGTTTGACAATACCACGAATTTTGACTTTCCATTCCTTGACACCTAGAAATGGACATAAATGGGTTGCAACGCATATAATAATGTAATATGAATGTATATTAACTGATTTACATTCAATCGTTTCTGTTTTTACTGTAATGTCTAATCAGTTATGTTCGGCGAAATACGCGAAGAGAGAGAGATAAATGGGGTTTAACGTCCACTTGACACAAACTAGGTCATTTCGGGACTAACACATGGTTCAATTTTATTTCAATAATTCGCTAGCGCGTAGGGGTCTTTTTAGCAGTGGGAGGAAACCGGAGGACCCGGAGAAAACCCACCAGGTTGGACAGGCGACCAAACTCCTTGTCACGTACAACCGGGGAATCGAAACCCCGTCAGTTGACTCAATGACAGACCGTATGATACAGCGTGCGCGTGCTAACCATTCGGCCATCCAACCCCCCATACGCGAAGAGTCCAAATTGAATGCCAGTCTTTGGCGTCTGGTTATTCAAGTTTACACCCGCATATAGTATTCTCTTGGGTATATTTAACTTCATTCTTCGAGTCTCTCTATTACAAATGAAACTTAAAAGCATTCTTGCACGCGATTCGTGTGGCAATTTCAAAACTTTAACTTTGTGTTAAATATTGGACATTAGAAGCCCATCTTTTCACGGTTACAACATTGATGTTGCGTTTAATTAAACAATGAGTCCCATGGTTGCAATATCGAAGACTGTGGATGATATTGAGTTAGAGAATTGACTCCTTTAAGACGAAGACGATTGGAAAACGAATGTATGATTATTTTATCAATTTGTTTTCAAAAGAAAGAATACGACTTTAAACTGGTAACCACCAAGGCTCATCAGATGGGTTACCTATAGCTATAACATGAAATAAATGAAACACAGCTAGTATATTATTATATTTCAATCAATGTAATATTTACAATCAATGTCAGTTCAATTATGCAGGTGTATGCTCATGAATATTGATGTTGTACATTTAATAATAAAATTACCCTTCACTTGAATTAAATCTAAAACCCACAAGCATGCAATTAAAGAGCTGTGGCGTTAACAGTCGCACTAGCCCGGCATTATATCCACCTGTCCGTAGATCGACAAAGTACAAGATTTAATTTTCAGAGCATATATGTTTTGTTGCGTGTCAACCTATCTTTTTAATTAAGATCGTAGACTTGGTTGCCTAATAATTAAGATGTATACAGCGACTTGGTTAACCGTTCATCGGTTACTACTGGTGAAACGGTTCAAAAAATTACAAACCGATATTCGTTTTCATATTATATTTGACATTCAAAACCAGGAATGGTAGCCAAAAATGTTTTCATTCACAAAAGACTATATAAATAGTTCATACAGCACAAAGTTCATATAGCATTTGTCATTTGTAATATATCACGGGAAATTAATGTCGTATTAATTCCCGCTCGAAGTTTTGTATACGTTACATTATTATTAACACTCCCTGCAAAGCTTGGGGTAGTATCAACTTATCTAAACAATTCATGAAACAGGTAACCCTATAAATTTAAAGATAATAGATAATGGGAAAGTCCATTATACAATACTATAAATATTGAAATGGCCCCTTCCAATTCCAGACATAGATTGAAATAGCTCTTTCCAAATCCAGACATATCAAATGACCAAAAACTAAATGATTAAAATGCAATACAAATATAAAATAAAAACACTAAAGTTTCAGAACTAAAATAAATCATTTAAGAGATAATAAAACATATTTAAAATACTCAATTTACTTTGCAAGGGGGGGTTCAATAATGAAATGACAATAGAAGTTCGGCTACGTGGAAATGGCACCAGTAGAAAATAATCTACAATTACCGAAACAATTAATTCTTTTATATCATAATTATTTCTAAATGGACACAAAATATTAATTAATCGTAACATACCTAATTCTCAACTGTTACGCCTTCTAGCAACTTATAAAACTCGATAGTTTATCACAGTTCTAAAAAAGCAGCCATGTAGGTTTGGCTTGGATTCCTTTTTGGCGGAAAGATGTTTAAATTTGATTGGGCCAACTGTCAACCTTGGGTGTGTCTTAAAATATAATATGTATAAGATAATTAATCTTGACCTTTATTGGGGTTTTTTATATACCGGTACATTAAATATAGATATTTTGCAATTAAGTTATGAACGTAATTAAGTTTTAAAGGTGTATTAAACGTTTAATAAATGTTTTTTAAAAAAAAAAAATTTCAAATGGCGTGTATAGGTAATTGTTATCTATTCATTGCGGGTTCTTTATAAACGTTACATAAACGTTTAAAAAAAAATCATATTTACGGTACTACGTTTTAATGGAAAATTTTGTAAGAAAACATCAATTATGAACGTTATCTAAACATATTATATTAAACATTTTTATCAATATTTATCGAAAACTTCTGAAAAACTCATCCAATCTCATTCCAGACATGTTCTATTGGTGCCATGTCCGGAGACATGGCTGGCCAGTCCAAGACATTGATGTTGTTAGCAGCCAGGAAGTCCGTACTAAAACGGGCGGTATGCGAACGTGCATTATCCTGTTGGAAGTGCTGAAGTTGTGGGTGCGCTCGAAACATCGGAACAACATTTGGTTGCAAGACATCATCACGGTAGGCTACAGCATTAACGCGACCCCTGCAAATGTGTAGGGCGGTCCGGTGATGAAATGTGAAGCCTCCCACACCATTACACTTCCCCCACCCCATCGATTCGTTTCGAAGACGCAGCAGTCTGCAAGACGTTCCCCAAGACGTCTCCACACACGTTGACGGCCATCAGCGTGATAAAGATGAAAGCGACTCCCATCACTGAAGAACACACTTTGCCAGTCTACTCTTCTCCATGTCTGGTGTGTCCTTGAGCCCATATCAAACGCCGCTGACGGTGATGATCCCTGAGGATAGCTCCAACATAAGGTCGTCGTGCACGGAGTCCTACTTCTCTCAGACGACGTCTTACGGTGTTGGCACTTACTGGTCCTTGTCTTCCGACGACTGCCGCACATGTTCGAGTCGCTGGGCGGAATCTGTCACGCAGATGAGTGACCCGGATGTAGCGGTCTTGAGCCTGGGTTGTAACGCGTGGTGGACCAGGACGTTGACGGTCACGCGTTGATCCAGTAACTCGAATACGTTCCACCAACCTTACAATAGTGGACTGATGACAATTGAAGTGTCTGGCAATAATAGCACGCGTAGACATGCCAGCCCAGGACATTCCCATGGCTTCATTCCGTTGATTTTCAGTAAGTCTCGATTCCTTCACACGTCCAACAACAAATTACAACAAATTGACGTTTCACAGTTCATGTACAACAGATTAAGTTGAAAACATGCTTTTAAAGGGCTCACACACAATGCTGCACGTGAATATTGGGTTTTTCATGTGCATCTCATGCTATTTTTTTTTGTGCACACGGGCCGAAATTTTTTGCGTTTGGGAGCATTGTGTGAAACAATAGTTCATAGTATTGCATAATATTATACATACAAAACCACCTAGTAATAAAATATTTGGGAAAAAAAGTGATGCGTTTTCTACTTAACGGTATCTACTTAAAATGATCATTTAAATACTTAAAAGAGATTGAATTGATTTCATTATTCTTTTATTATTATTTCTTTTTTTTATACCGGAATAGTATTATTAAATTTATATTAGCACTTTTAGATGTCGATCTACGGCTGTTTTTATTAATAATTTGTTTAGTGAAGCCGATTGATAAAAATCGCGTTAACTCTACCAACTACCAAGCGTCGATCGAGATTTTGCCGTGGGTAACAAATCTCCGTCAAATCAAATAGCCCAGTGACGTGTAGTATAGATCAAATGGCTTGCTATGTGTCGAAAATTATTCGTTTAACGGCTATGTATATGAGTAATATGAAAAAACTAATGATGAGAGATTTCATTTAGATTAGATCTACTTGCGCAACACATCAACGCAAATATCTAGCCTAGACTAGTGCAGATCACGTCGGTTCTAAATTCTACGTCGCTTGGCCTAGACTCGTGTATTCTGAGCGGACTGACACAATCATGCAGCTGGTCCAGCTAGTTTTAATAGTTAAAGCGAGAATTTCATATTTTCTAAGAAAGTCAAAACATAATTATTTCTATATTTTTTGCTCAATAGGCTGTCAACTCAATAATATAGGATCATAGGTATCATTATGACACTTATAAAATCATTCACACCGGAAATAATAACACAATTACCACCTTTGTTGTTCTACCCTCCCCCCCCCCCCCATGGAAAAACTATCTGCAAACGTTTGAATTTGAAGTTGACAATGATATTTTGGCCAATTTCTCAACTGGCAATAGTGAATTATAGGAATAATAGGATTATTCTGTAACAAGGTAGGACTGTTTATAGATACCATCTATTTTAAGGCTTTACTTTAATACATTTTAAAAATATAACTTAAAAATATGAAATTCACTCGGCACAGCTGCAGTCTGAGTCTGTGTTTTGAAATGAACGTCTCCACTTACACCGCGGTCGTCAACAAAGTCCATGCCTACATTGCCGGTAATCATATTCGAGGGGCTTTCATATTCAACTTAATAATAATAGTCTCTGTACTACACGATGTATGTATAGATGCGCGTGTTTTACATACATGTAAATATAGTTGGTGTTTTTGTTGTTTTATAGCCATTGATAATGCCGTAGCGTAGGCAGCCTAATGTTTTGTTTGTATTTGTATGCTGTCTCTAATAGCCTAATGGGGTGTTAAGATACAATATAATTTTATCTGATCTTATATACTATTCAAAAAAAGTAAGGGATATTTGATTTTGGAGGCATAATACTAAAATATGCAAATAACTACGAAAAAAGTCACTATAGAACCTAACAGAAGAAACATTTCCAGTTACATGTGACGCCCAGATACCGTGATACACAATCTGTACAGGACAGACCACGCTCAGGTCGACCAAAGGCGACAACTCAAGCCCAGGATCGATTTATCCGTACCTTGGCCTTGAGAAATCGTGTCATCACAGCAAATCAGATCAGCGCTCGTCTTCAAACAGACACTGGTGTGAGAGTGAGTGGCCAGACGATTCGGAATCGACTGCATAGGGGTCACCTTCGCGCCCGACGTCCTCGCGTGATCCCTTGTTTGAGAGATCATCACATTCAGGCAAGACGTCGTTGGTGTAGGGATCGTCAACACTGGGATAATCGACGCTGGAGCAATGTGATGTTTTCAGATGAGTCAAGGTTCACTGTTGATTTTTTGGACAGACGTAGGAGGGTGTGGGTGGTTCTGTTATGGTGTGGGGAGGCATCACTGTTGCTGGAAGAACGGCTTTACATGTTGTTGCAGGGCGTGTTACAGGCCAGTACTACCGGGACAACATCTTGGCAGTCCATGATGTGCCGTTCGCACGACGTCATGGCCGCCGTTTCATCTACCAGGATGACAACGCAAGATGTCACAGGGCCAGGATCGTTACAGGTTACCTCCAACAACAGAACATCACCACATTACCTTGGCCAGCACTGAGTCCCGACCTCTCCCCCATCGAGCATGTCTGGGACATGCTTGGACAGAGGTTACGTCAACGTCAACAACGTCCTGCCAATGTCCAAGAACTTGCTGCTGCGTTGCAACAGGAATGGGACAATCTGGACCAAAATGACCTTAGACGTCTCATTAGGAGTATGCCACGTCGGATCAATGCTTGTTTGGCAAACAGAGGAGGATTTACCCGTTACTGACTTGGTTGTGATGCTGTGGTAACTTTGCTGTTTGACCCCGGGTATCATTTTACCCTTATAATGGTCAGTCTGTGCCTTACTTAGTCTAACGATCATTTGGAATAAATCGATGAATGTGAACTTCATTTCATTTTGTCATTTGTTTCTTCGTCAGTTTCATTAGGTGACTTTAATAACACTTAAAAATCAAATATCCCCTACTTTTTTTGAATAGTATATTAGCCTTAGAAGAAGCAATTGACGATTTTTATATCCCTTCCACATACCCGGTTGAGAGTTAAAATAATAGAACTTACCTTCGGCACGAACCAAAAAACCAATATGGCATCCCAGAAGCATCTTTCGCGGCAACATTTAGAGTCACGTTATCAGTTTCCGCGGGAAAAAACCGCTAGTGTTACCAGATAATTTACTGAAGAATTAACCGGAATATTTGTCAGCTTCTAGTTGTTTTACAATAAGCCTTAAATAAAATGTATTATAGTTTGTATTGTGTTATTAAATCTCGATCTACGTCGTTAACCAATACAACTGTACCCAAGATCATACGTCAATTTCTATAGATAAGCGCATTGCAATTCCTGTTTTAGGCCCGTATTATGCACTGAATTTGTGTAGCAAACGCTGCACACTACACAATACGCATTAATCACCATTTTCTGTGCTTTGTGTTATTATTTCAATTGAAAAACACCGGATGTAAAAACAGCGACATTTAGGTGCGGGAGAGGCATCTCGTTTACAGTTCATAATACATTTTTATAATACTTGACGGACGCAAACGCCTTTTCTTGCTTTCCCAACCCGTGTGCTCAGCAACATGAAAGCAAGCCAGTATTGCCTATTTATTACACAAATAACTTTAATGCATTAAAGGAAATTATGATTTCCGAAAAATTATAAAACAAATAAATGATCGATGTCGCACACCGCCGAGTGGGACCCGACGAAATGTTTCAATCCGCAATCAATGCAGTACAAATTCGCCGTGTTCAATGACAAGAAAGTGAAAATGTTTTATTATACTTAAAAATCATCGAATTTGGGGCTCTTTATTTTACTGACAAGAAAGCAAAATATTTTCTTCCAAATAACATTCTGAAAGTTCCGCTTTCACTTTCTCTCGGGATTTTGAATGTGACTTTTTACCTAAATTGCTGCCGGGAACCGGGAATGTCAGGCAATGTCATGACCTTGACTCAGGTTACAACCCCAAAATTGACCTTGCGGGTGCGGGTCACGACTTTGACCTTGACATTTATTCGCGATATCTGGGTAGTACATGAAGTTTTGGGACTTTTTCGATCCCAAGGTCAAGGATCAGGTCAAAGGTCAATGCCCCATTCGAAAGTTCAATGAGTTGCCTATCCATGGGGATGACCTTTGATTTGCCGCGCAGACCAGGGTCCCCACCATGTGCCCGGGAGCATCGAACTCAGTAGATATTTTGGTGACCTTGACCCTTTCAGATGACCTTGACCTACCGGGGTCATGTGGACCAAGATGACATTTTGGAAGGTCAAGGTCCGGTGGTTCTAACTTTATTAGATGGGCCCAGGGGTTCAAAAACCAAAATACTTCCGGGGCCCCTAGCGGGTCAAGGTCACGACTTTTGGTTGGCGATTTTAAAAAATGAAGAACAAATGTTGAGTCAGTCTATCGGGTCACCAAACCCCGGGGCGATCGGAAGACATTTTTTGGGCAAATTTCCCTAGAAAGTGAAATAGCTGAGCATTACAGCGGTGTGGTCTAAGGGCAGATAACTCGCCCATCCCAAATCGGATCCGACGACCTTGAGGTCGTGGCTATTTAAACTAAATTGACCCCCGAGAGTCTCTTGGTGACCTTGGTTTGACAATCAGAGGTCAAGGTTCGAACTGCTATATATGACGTTTCGATAACGTTATGACAATGTTGTGACAACGTTGTGACAACAACCTGTATATGAAGTTTTGATAACGTCGTGACAACAACCTGTATATGACGTTTTGATAACGTTTTGAAGACGTTGTGACAACGTTGTAACAACGCCGTGACAACAACCTGTATATGACGTTTTGATAACGTTGTGACAACGTTATGAGAACAACCTGTATAATAATGACGTTTTGATAACGTTTTGAAGACGTTGTGACAACGTTGTCACAAAGTTGTAAAAACGCTGTGACAACAACCTGTATATGACGTTTTGATAACGTTGTGACAACAACCTGTATATGACGTTTGAATAACGTTTTGATGACGTTGTGACAACGTTGTGACAACAACCTGTATATGACGTTTTGATAACGTTTTGAAGACGTTGTTACAACGTTGTGACAACGTTGTAACAACGTCGTGACAACAACCTGTATATGACGTTTTGATAACGTTGTGACAACAACCTGTATATGACGTTAGAATAACGTCTTGATGACGTTGTGACAACGTTGTGACAACAACCTGTATATGACGTTTTGATAACGTTTTGATGACGTTGTGACAACGTTGTGACAACGTTGTGTCAACAACCTGTATATGTTTGTGTGACGGATGTCCAGAATATGCCCAATTATTGATTGCAATTAGCTGTCACGGTAAGTTAGAATTATGCTGTAAGTTACAATTCCTAATACATGTAATTATCTATTTGGGAACAGTTTTCGTCCATTTATTCAAAATTGCATTTTCCGAAATTAAACCTACTTTAACAACAACTCACTTCCTGGTTTAAATATAGACCTACCAGTAAAGTTTTACCGGGTTCATTCAATCTGTCAGTATCATGGCTACTAGTAAGTGCAGTGACACGTCTGCATATAACAATAGTCTCACGGATACACAGAACCTCATAGAATCTGCTTGAATGACAGCTTAGAGACTATTATTATAGCATATAACGGGAAATGATATTTGCAGTTTGACTGTGGAATATGCTGGAATAAATCACTCACACTGGTCCCGATGACATTAGCGTCTGTGTGTGTGTTTCAATACTGAGCCAAGTATACTATACGTACTATAAATATACTGTTCATATTAGTACGTTTTTCTTTGTTAAAAAAATGAAATGAAATGGGATTTAACGATTTACTTTTCTGCACCGACTGGGATAATAAAGACGAGCACACGCCCTGTGGTGTGTTATCATAGTTATGAGAGAATTTTGCCCGGGCAGCAGCGCTACGATATTCTCTTATTTTGAATTCCAACTATAGGAGTTATTTTATGTGCATGTCAACATGTACACGTGACCTTGGTTTTTGTCCCACCTGAATGACTAGACCCTCCGGCATGCACCACTGACAAGGGAAAACCCCGGGGAAATTGTCAGGAAAGTGGTATCTATATCTATATTTTATTCTTTTTATATGAGAGTCTTTAATTGTTTGTTTTCAGGTAATTTATATTATAATTCTCACCTGTTCCCCCTTTATGTCACGTGTGTTCCCGGTACTAAAACACGTGACTGTAAGGTAAACTATAACCCGCTATCAACTTGGTCCGTTAAACAAAATTATTTCACACAGTGATAATGGGATTGGCGGTTATATACTTTCCTCTTTACAGATACAACTATATACAATGGCGAATCCTGGTGGGGGCCTTAGGGGCTAGGGTCCCCCACCCCCATTACCCCCCCCCCCCTAATTAAAATAACAGTATAATCAATTCCTTTATTGTTCAGATCCTGAGAAACGCGTCTAATTTCTGTTTTTTGCTGGTTTAGGTGGTGTAGCAGGTGAAATTGAATGTATAATATGTGTCACAATTCCCATTGACACCTCAACTTTTCAAAATTATGAACTAAATATCCTGCATATCACGTATAACAAATGAAATGTAATGGAGTTTAACCGTCCTACTGCTCCGACACGGATAATGAAGACGGGCATATGTCATGTAGTGTGCTATGAGGAAAACGTTGTGACAACAACCTGTATATGAAGTTTTGATAACGTTGTGACAACGTTGTGACAACAACGTGTATATGACGTTTTGATAACGTTTTGAAGACGTTGTGACAACGTTGTAACAACGCCGTGACAACAACCTGTATATGACGCTTTGATAACGTTGTGACAACGTTATGAGAACAACCTGTATAATAATGACGTTTTGATAACGTTTTGAAGACGTTGTGACAACGTTGTCACAAAGTTGTAAAAACGCTGTGACAACAACCTGTATATGACGTTTTGATAACGTTGTGACAACAACCTGTATATGACGTTTGAATAACGTTTTGATGACGTTGTGACAACGTTGTGACAACAACCTGTATATGACGTTTTGATAACGTTTTGAAGACGTTGTTACAACGCTGTGACAACGTTGTAACAACGTCGTGACAACAACCTGTATATGACGTTTTGATAACGTTGTGACAACGTTGTGACAACAACCTGTATATGACGTTAGAATAACGTCTTGATGACGTTGTGACAACGTTGTGACAACAACCTGTATATGACGTTTTGATGACGTTGTGACAACGTTGTGACAACGTTGTGTCAACAACCTGTATATGACGTAAATACAACGTCGAATATTGGTCGAAAACACGTTGTACAACGTCACGACCAATATTGACGTTGTCACAATGTTGTAACAATGTTGCGTGCCCGCAGGGTGGAGTCTACTGATAGGTTCATAGCTGCGTTTTTCTTTATTTAGTTTGAGTCATTCTTTGTGTCTATGACTAGTAGCCTGTGTCTACGGTTGTATGCCGTATCATGTATGGAATTTCCAGTTCTAGTGAATTCGAGACTCTAGTTCAAAAGAATCCGAGGAAGAAAATGACGAATCGTTTTTTTTGTCGGGGATGTCGAGATCTTCACATGTGACTTCTGTTTGTAAGCTCATAATGGTATTATATATAGTCAAATAAAACACTTGTTTTGTTCTTTTATTTTCACCAACTAGATCTAGTTGACTTGTAAAGCCTGATGGAGGAAGGCGGGAACAGTCTGTAGTTTTTTTCTACGTTTTAGTGAACAAGCATGCTTACCAGTCATGTAAAACGCCAAACAGCTTGTCATTTGACACATCTATGACTTTGGACTTTTGAATCACCACTGTATTATCGTTTATTTCCATGCAGAAATTAACCTGACCATTTTACCCCAACAACGTGGACCATTTTACCTAATTTCAAGCGCGGATCAAGAGGGGGGGGGGGTTCAGGGGGTCCGCCCCCCCCCCCCCCCCGCTCAGGCTTGAAAATTTGAAGGGTCCGAGAAACTTAAAGCTAAAAGCCTGAATCTGACCCAAAAATTGCGAGTTTGTATACATTGAGTTGAGTCATGACTTTCATTCCATTGTGGGCAAAAACAAATAGTCACATACAGCTCTGGCAATTAGCCCAAAACGTCGACAGCATAAATTGCCGTCGGGACTAATTGACCCCACGGCAAATCGCCTACTGACGACGGCAATTTTTTAATACCGTACTGTATGAAAATATAAGTTTATTGAAATTTAAAGAGTTTTATTAACCCTGTTCGCCTGTTGACGTTGAATATTGTTGTGTTTGCTTTTTAATTTTATCGGCAGCGTTGATAAGAAAAAAACCTTGGTCATTTATGTGTGAAAATTTCCTGTAAACCTCTACATTTATGATTAAGCCTGTGCAACTATTGCAAGCTTTATTATTAATTTTTATGCGCTGAAAGTAAAAACAGTAAACCAAGTCTATAGACTTTTCGTCTGTGAAAGTTTGTGCTCTGGATAACCCCGACCAACTTTCCTATACTTAAATGGATTGGTTACTCTAATAGTAAATTGATACTGCTAATAAAGCATGTTAAGAACAACCATAATATGGTATCTGAAGATATTTTGTTCCTCACCTGTGAAGGGAGCATCCCTCATCAACATTTTAGGACATTTAATGCGATTTTATTGACGATTTTTAGACCTGTAATTTTGGAATTTACCTTCCGGAAATACGTCAGAATGCAGCAAATTGAATCTAATTTACCAAATTTTTCAGGGGGAGGGCCCCCAGACCCCCCTTACAACGTTTAACGCCTTCAGTGCTCGCGGCGGTGGGCGTAGTTAAGCAACTATCCAACCTAGACCCCCCCCCCCGGCAAAAAATCCTGGATCCGCGCCTGCTAATTACATGTACAAAATGGACCACCAAACCTCTATAATATTTATTGACCAGGGACCGGTTGCTCAAAACTCAGTTATTTTAACGTTTTGTTGACGGAATGTCAATTTCAATATCCGTTAGCTAACGGACTGATTAAAGTTAATCCAAGAGAAGATTGTTCATTGGCTGAATTTTAAATGTTTAAATTCAATGTACATGTATAACAACTTATAGAAGTTAGTTAAGAAACTGAAGACAGTGCATGGGACAATTGTGCAGTCTGTTCACAAAACTTGATTAAAGACAAAAAGATAACTGTAGAATCTACTACAGGAAACACTATAAAAAATCTATACAATACTATAGTATTTTCCTATAGAAATTTTAGCACAAATCTGTAGGAAAAATTATAGGATTTGTACTACAGAAATTGTAGAATGTTTGGGGGCCGTTTTTTCCTACTGGCCCCCAAATACTGTAGAATACTAAGAATTTCGTCCTATAAAAATGGGATAGCCCCCCACCCACGGACCTTCTAACCCTCTAGCATGTTCTATATAAGTCTATAGAAATCTACACTGATATAGGAATTTTTGGTAAGGGTTTTTCGACTGACAGCCGACTAATGCCATCGTTAACGAGATTACAAAGCCCAGCAACACCTTCGTTAAATATAACGGCAAGTTAACACGTTAAAGTTAACGGGGCTTCTAGCAACCGACTTTCTCTCCGTTTAAGATAACGATCCGTTAACTCCATGTTTCGTACTAGTACACTGATCCATATGCTGTATATCAACTAATAGGGCACCCGTACCCATCAAAACATTAAGCATTCGTCTCATTGTAGGAGGTGAACCTTAAGTGGTCGATTTTGCACCTTCCCCTACGTATCCCATTTAGAGGCATTTGCTAGTTACGGGGGGCGGGGTGAGGTTGGGTGGACCATGGTGCCTAAAGTTGTGTGTGTGTGTGTGTATGTGTGGGGAGGGATTGTGATAATGTTCATATATACTCTTCAAAAAAAGTAGGGAATATTCAGAAACAATACAAAACTGCGGAAATGCACTGCTGATTTTATTAGAGGTAACCAGTGTATGTTAATAACAGGCCAATTGCACATGAACATAAACAGTTCATATGGGCGGCTTATCTGACGGCCCCATTTCACTCGCAAAAAGATACACTGGACATTTTTTATTTTTGTCTTCATAATGAGTAATTGCTCCACCAATTGCCCAGACATTCAGCAATTCGTCGTAGCATGCTCCTGACCGACCATCCGATCACGATTTGGGGCAATCTGACCCACTCATATTGCAGTGCCACGGCCAATTCTTGCAGTGTTGTCGGTTGACGTTGACGCCGACGAACACGTCTCCCGATCAAATTAAACGTAAAACACTAAAGCAATGATACGCTAAACAATAAATCTTATATGCAAGAACCGATAGGAAAGCAAACATGGATAGGATAAACCAGCAAGCGGCAGTTTTCATCAACCCTTCCTTGAAGTGTCAAATTTGACAAGATAAGATAAGATAAGATTTTATTGCATCGAAACATCCATTTAGGACAGCATACAATATAAACGTGTACATAAAAATTATAACGATATGACAATTATTACACAAGACACACAATATTGCATCGGAACCTCCCTTGAGGACAACATACAATATACAAAATATACAGGTGCAAAAAATGGACGGATACAAAAATATGGACGGACATAAATTTAGAGCACTCATAAATAAACAGTATGAAACCTGCA